ATCATCTGAGCTTGTATAAGCTTTGTGTACATTTTTGTAAAGAATTACCTTCAATTTTATGCATGATACAATCAAGAATAAACTTTTTTTTTTGGATTTCATCGATATGTGTATTTTTATATTATTTTTAACGTTTGATATTGTTTTCTTTTTTTATTATTGAATTTTATTTAATCAAATTTTTAATACAAATAATTATTGGGTCGTCCGGAAAGTTCGTGCGTATTTTCCGGACGACCCAATATCTCCATAATTATTTAGGAACAGAGTATCCCGATCGACATTAACGCTGGAAAGTTACTGGATTGGCTGATTAATCGGAGGCATTGCAAGAAGGATTGGCACATGAATATTTTGCCCATTAGACAGAAAATTAATAATGCGATACAGAATATGCCTGCTCATGATGGCATTGCCTCATTGTTGTCCGGTGCTTGTAAGCTATGAATCATTATAACTCCATCTCATGATTTTTACAAACATATATATAGTTGCAGACTTCTGACTATTTTGTTTTTTTATTTTGTCTTTTTTAGATATAAATTATTTTTACTGTGTGAAAATTGTGCAAATTTTGAAGGAAACGGAAGCCGATACAAAAAATTTATTCGGGCGTTATGGCTCACAAAGGATGAAAGATTGGCAGGAGATTTTGAGATTGTATGAAAAAGAAAACGTATACCTTGCCGAAGTCGCGCAAATGCTTATGAGAAATGTTAATTATGAGGTTCCCAGTATTAAAAAGCAAATACAGAAGTTAGAACAATTGTTAGCTGTAAATTGATTTATATATTGTGTAATGTTATCTTTACTTATTAGCATATAATAAATGTATATAAAACTATATTGTCAGGAATTGGAAAAGAAAGAATCAGAATATAAGAAATCAGAAAATATTGCACATATGGAATACAATATGCTATGCAAACAATTAGGTGTAACTAGTTATAATACAGTTAGACGAGAGTTAATAGATAAGGTGAAAGAATTGCCAGAAATTTATCAGAAAGTAGCAGAGAAAACAAAGTGCTTGGATAAGGTTGTAGAGTTTTATAGTGCATTTGTTGAATTCACTTTCGACCAGCAATATGATAATGATTGTGTATCGATGATTAAATATGTTATTGGTATGTTTGCATAATAATTTCCAGAATTTATGATTATTCTTAAATAAGAAGCACATATGATAGTGTTATATTGTTTTTTTTTAGAAAAGGGAAACACAACAATGTTTGAATATATATATGGAGAAGTACCAGCGTCAATAATTGAACCGCCATTGAATATTAAAGTGGATGAAGATGAAAGTAATAAACAGTCTAGTGTGGATGCTAATGTATGCATATTTTTTGTGATATTTATAACAAAAGTAGAGCTTATTATTATTTCGAGGATTCTCAACAGACCATTGATTTCGGTAACTTGGATTTGGATGGAGAAATTGATTTTGGTGAAAAAGTTGATTTGGACACAGGAGGCGATATTGATTGGGGAGACGAAGGCGTAGAACAATCTATCATGGAAATTGATTATAATATCTCTTTGGAGGAATCGGGTATAGTTGTGGAAACAGTAGGTCATGAAGGTGGCGTGGCTACAGCATGTGAAGCATATACGATATTAGACAATCCAACAACGAGATCCGAATTTATCAATCAACTGTTTGAAGTAGAACATAAATATACATATAAGAAAGTGGTAACTGTCTACATTTTATCTTTAAAAAAAAAATATATATATATATATATATT